AGCAAATGACATTGAAACGTTTGTATGGATATTTCGAAGTCCTGACAGTATAATTAATATCCCGTAGGTTATTTCAAGCAAATATTTGACTAGCGACGTCGAACAAGGCCAGTTAACCGCGTCGTGGATCGTAAACTGACCTCAATACAGAAAGTGGGGCAAAATAGCCAAAATACAAAACATTTTGTTCTAGGCCTCTCAGTTCCCGCCTCGCCGCGTATAAGGAACGTTAAGAGGCCTAGGGACTACGCTGCGGTAACTCTAGTTGCTGAGTTGACTGGGTCCGAATCCATGAAATGGTAGATTTGAATTTTTCTCGCCAGAAGTACGGCTGGAATATTAAGTCTTTTAAACTCCAATATATATTTCAAACGATTTTAAATATTTTGTAAGGACTTTTCCCGGAGAATAAAGAAAGACTTATCATTAATGCCATCACAATGCTCATTGCTCACGAAGGTATTGTATATCTTTGCCATATAAATTTAGTGTTCACCCCTAAAATATACATATTCTGACTGCTATTACCTTCACAGGTATTCAATATATACATAAAATAGTTAAAATGTTTCGTCTATTTGCAGGAGACCAAAACAAAATATCAGATAAAGATCTCGAAGCACTGTTTCACGCTTTGAGACATTAGGTTGGATCCAAAGCAGGTTTCACAACGCTCACTAGGTGAGAAACGTTTATCTTTAACCACAACACACGCTGTTTACTCAACCAGCTCACTTTCTCTAGACCGTGTTTCTGTTTTGTTTTTACAGCTTCTAAGAGAAGGTTGGTGTGAAAACTGTGAAAGCTTTGAAGAGGAATAATGAAGCCGTGACTCACGCCGCTGTCGCCATACTGTGTGCTCTGATGCAGGTAAAGAGAGGGTTTTCCTTTAAGCGGCCAAAATGGTCAGACCGGTCATATTTAAATTTAAAATAGAGTATTTCGTTAAGAATATAGTTGCGAAATTTCCGAGCTAGACAGATGCAAGTAACGATATACTTGAACGCAGAGTTCTTGAAACACTCTAAAATACCAGTAATCTGTCTGTACCGAGATCAACAATAGGACCGGTCTGGCCGTTTTTTCCGTATAAAGGAAAGCGCCAACACTTTAACGATGAATTTCCTGGTAATATGTTGCCAAATCTGTCACTGTCATTAGTGTTACCCCTTTAACTTGCAATCCACATAAACTCAGCCAACTTTGAAATCTGAATGTTAACAGGATCCAATTTTATCGAAACCAATTCTGTTTTTTTATATAGCCAACGCACGATAACTATGACATTCGACAAGAACAGATAAACAAAAGCTCTTTGTTATCCTCTGAAAAATTTCTAAGCAGTTTGTTGGAAATTCTCACGATAAATGTTGTAAGATGTGCGGTGTTGGTTGCCTATAATCTATGCTGAACCCTTGCATTTTATTTTTCCATCCCTCTTGTATGTATATAGCTTTGTTTTGGAAGAGAAATTCCCTTGCAAAACCCAGCAAGTGATTCGTAGCAACTGCCTTTCTAATTTGAACTACCTTTCTAACTAAACACAAAAAATAGATTAACCATGAAAACTTTTCTTCTATATTCGTTCTACTGGGGTTTTAGTTATAAGTGGATTGCTTGATTTTCTGACGTTTGCTCTGTGTCCTCCTTACAGGTTTGTTCTAGTTGCTTTGCAATATATTAAAATAATACGGGGGTGAAGTTGGACATTCATGTTAAACTAATAGTAAGGTGTGATTGCTTCCAATATTTTGAATCAACTCATGTAGTCTGTTACAATAAATCGACTATTGCATATTCCTCTTAGTGAGACAACAGATGATGAACAGTTTGGGAAATTACTGGAGAAAGTTGCAGGTATGCTACAAAGAAATTTGAGGAGCTTTTCATTCAACTTGTCTTCTTGGTAGTTTATGGCTCTTTCACTGAGGTTGAGAGTTGATTAAATAGCCTTTCTCTCTTTACCTTTTTGGTGAAGTTTACCACGTCCACTAGCTTGTCCCATGCATAGGAGCAACTCATGAAGTCTGTTATTTGTTTGTCTAGAAATGGGTCATTGCATTTATCGATTGTTCCAGGTAGGTTTACGACAAAACTAAATAATAGTACCAATTTTACCATTTCTTCGCTTATGTATGTTTTACTATTGCCCCGCTAATGGTTCTTACCAATCGTGGTTTTGAATTCGTTCCTCAACAATTTCAGCATCCGTCGACAACAATTGTGAAAGGTGCTGGCATGGTTCTGAAGGCGATAATATAGGTACGTTTTATTCATTCATTCATCCATTGAGAATTTTCTGCTTTTGACGAACGTCATTTATAACGCTCTGCATTTTTTTAGCCGTGATGAATGTACATATTAGTTCAGTTGATATTTAAGAGGTTTTAAAGGGTCTTAATTTTGAGAGGTATTATACACACTTCAAATCTAGCCAGGAACAGATGACGGAAAAATGAGTGATCTATAGATCCTCCGGCAGGAATCAAACCTACGCTTTTGCGATGCCGGTGCAATGCTCTTGTCACTGAGGACGTACAGTTGACTAATTTTTCCATCAACTGTTCCCTGCTTGAATTTGAAGTGCGTATAATACCACTCGAAATTAAGACCCTTTAAAACCTCAAGAATATTCCTGCATCGTGTGAAGTGCCTAAAATCATCTGTTAATATTTAGTTAGAACTTCACTTTAGGAAGCTGATGAAGAAACCGCAGCAAAAATACAAGTTCTGGCGCTTGCCGAGGGCGCTCTACCAAAACGCTTACGCATGGCCTTGTTTACGCAAAGCACTGATAGACGTTCGCTATTGAACAGGTGCGAATTAGTGTGATAAATTAACAAATTGTTGCAGAGGTATAGCCTCTATTCCATCCGCAGGACCTGAGTTGTATTTTAGCAACATTCTCAGATTCATCTTAAAACTTGTGATTTTATAATCCTCTATATACTAGCCATCTGTAAATAGTTCAATTGAGACTAACAAGCATACTCCATAAGTAATTTATAATCATTATTGTTGGCATAGCATCATCCAACAGCAATGGCATTACTTGCGAGAATAATGTTCGTATTAAAGTAGTTATAGTTTTTAATGTCTAAAATATACAAGAAAGTTTAAATGCGAGATTTCCTGTTCATAATTTTTGGTTCATAAACAATAATGTAATAAATTTGAATACGATTTTCACAGCCTGCTGGTTTGCTCTATTACCTTGAAAGCCCTGACGAAGTAAGAAATCTTTGAAAACTTTTTGCGAGGGCCATTATTTACATAAACCCATTGAGGTGATTCTGACTAACCAATCGCATTCATGACTAAGTTGTATCAACTGCTTTGGTAACTAAACTCCATCATTCATCCTTAAACGGTGCCAACTGCCCCACTGAGGAAATAATTAAATGGTAATTCATTCAGAAGTGTAAAACCTTTTTGTAAAGAAACAATTTTGTTGGAAAGTTTTTATCTTTCCTTCAGCCACCAGAGACTGAAGAAGATCGTTTATCAATTCGTGACAATGTAAAGCTTGCAGAAGTACGTTTTAAATCAACAATCGTGTTCCAAAATTTCATAATGCATGCTTGCATGTACGTATAAGCCTGTTATTTCACGCGTTATACTTGTGTCTTAGAGCTCTGGAAAAACGAGGGGAACGTTGAGGAATCAACTTGAAGGATATCTCTCGCATTGGAGGACAAAAATAGGATTCAAATCCAGGAAAAATGTGAGAATTTAAATCCAGTTTTTTTATTAAAAGTAAGTGTTCATATTAAGAAATGGGAAAATGTTCTAGTCGTTTGAAAGATGAAAAAGCAATGATATTTAAGCGGATCTTTTTTACAGATTCAGTCAAGATCTGACAGCGTACAACCTGATTTGGAATTACAAGGTGAGTCTCGAAGTTAAGGTTAGTTTCCGTTGAAAATATAGGAAATGGAAATGTAATGGAGGATTTCCTGTCGCTATGAGTATAACAAGACAAATTCAATAGTCCTGACCTCTTTCTCTAAACTGTTCTCGTAAAAGAGTATGAAACAATTTCTTATGTTTTCAATGTAACAGACGCGAGAGGAACTTCTGGGGCACTCGAATCTGATTTGCACGCATTTGCAATGGAAAAAGATCTGAGTGGAAACTACGTTGTCTTTTGGAATCACCTTTAGTTTGAAGTCCTGTATGAATGTTTAGCTGATGAACTGAAATAGGTTAGTGATAAGCCTAACTGCTCTAGCTTTTTAACAGTTCTTCATAAAGCGTCCCCCCCTTATTCCTCGATAGGAATCAAACTCAGTAACGTATCTCTGCTATCAGGTGACTATTATTTGAGAGTCTTGTTGGAACAAAACGACGAGGAGACGCCGATAACAAATGTGTGAGTCCACGACATTTATCTATCAGGGTTTGCAAATATTCAAACTACTTTCCATGTGCTTTTCTGTCTGGCTTCCCCCTATTCTCTATATTGCTGCACAGTTCACGCAATGTTATTTGTCCTGCAGAATGTAGTAGAGAAGTATAGAATCATGGATGAAACCATTCAAGATTCGATCGACTTTTCTATTTTGTTTTCAGGCTCGAGTTGTCTAACGATCTGTATCACTGATTCCTATTGACAACTAAACCAACTATGAAAGCAATGTGCCTTCAGGTGAGGATGTCGTTTAGCGCGAATGTAGCCATGTGTAGCCTTCGAAGAATGAATTAAACAAATTGGAATATTTCATTCACAGGCGATGACTAAAGTTTATGGAAAATATCACGAAGAGATTGGAGCTTTTAATGACACCAAGCTAAGGATCATCTGTTATTGATCCAGTGTTACTGCAGGAGCCTGAACTAAACTAACTTTATTCATACTGTTTCGTATTTTTAGCATTTACATGAAAATGGCATCACTAACAGGGATTGGAAGGTAAGCACGCCCTAATTTATTTATCACTACTGTCTTTATATCCTAAACTTTAACGACCATAATTTAACTTTTTCTTCTTTAGCCAGAAAATGTTTTATTGTGTTCCTCGTATGACGAAACGCTTATAAAGGTTTGTGTCGGTTGTGTATTGAACTTGTGTTTAAATTGCCCTTTAAATTGTCTTTGAAGAAACCATTCGATGTGACCATTGCCAGCAAATCCTGGAAGTCACTATAATCTCAATTCCGAGTTTTGTCCGTGATTTCGTTTTACGAAAGCAGAGCGCATTCTGCAAACGTTTTAGGTTCAGTTATTTCTCATTGTTACAGTTTCTCAATGATAACAATTAATTTTTTAGATCAGAATTCCTATATGGAAACAATCTGTGGTACACCAAGTTACCTCGCTACCAAAATGTTAATCCCGTAGCCTGAAGAACGATCCTACAAGAAATCGTGTGTTATATGTTTGGTATGCCATATACTTCAGTTTACTCAAATTCACGTAGTGAACACGATTTGTAATGAAGCTGGAGGTAGCTTAACCTCATTTCAAAATTGGAGTACGTCAATGAAAAGTTAACGTCTTTTAGACTTTCCGGATCTTCTTTATTTTCAAAGCAGGCAAATAACCCATTGGAGAAACAAGTCAAAGAAGGGTCGTATAAATTTCCGAACAACCTCTGGAAGAATGTTAGCAGTGAAGCTAAGGATCTTATAACAAAACTGCTTACTGTTGGTCACAGAAAATGCATCACGGTTTCAGAAGCTCTGGAACATCCTTGGATGAAGGTGATGATGAAATTACTAACCGCCTTATAACACCCCGCATCTAAGATTTTTCAAAATCGGCTGACCTTTTTCGTCTGAAGTCCCAGCTTTTTCGAATTGTTAGAATTAGTTTGGTTGAAGTTTAGAACTGATACAGCTATCCAGCATAAATAAAGTCAGTTTAGTTCAGGTTTCCTCCTGTAGTAACACTGCATCAATACGGGATGACCCCTACTGGACCTCCATGAAGGACAATAGAACTATACGGTATAAATAAAATTAGTTCAGTTAGGAGAGAAAGCTTTTAAAAGTGTTAGATTGATCCACGATTTAACAAGTTTTTTTTGTCTTTTGTAGGATAAAGAAATGATAGAAAAAGCAGAAAAAATGATAAAACCGACCGTGGATGGAAGATCAATGTCTCCGCACTTATAAAAGGTATGTTGAAAACTACGATACTTGTCCCGTTCTTCCGTCCAATGACCCTTTTTTTCAACTCGCAATTGCAATGAAACATTACATGTTTGCAAGTTACATCGAAATTTAACCAGCTTTCTGAAACAATCTCAACGCGCTGTTACACTACGCAACTTTCCTTGCAAATTGCAAAACCATTCTACTCCTGAGGCATCTAAAGTTGTCAAATACGAACATCTATTACGATCTGCTAACGTTTCCTTAGTATTTCGAACACTCTTTACAAATTAAAATCCTTCGGAATTATAATTGCATTGCAAGTTGTAAGGAAAATTGCATATTGTAAGTAGCGCCTTCAGTAAAGTTGAAAACTCACCGTGCAATGAAACATTGCATGTCGGCAAGTTAAAAGGCAGAAAATAACTGTCACCGTACATGGTGAAGACTGGCCGACGGTCACGTTCAGCAGACGAGGCTCTGCGAGCAAATAAAATACTCAGTGGCGTAGCCAGCACGACAATTTAGCAGCATGACTGAAAATGCTTCATGTAAGATCACATCACTAGTTATTCCGATAAATAAAAGAACAGGGGCCGGTTGTTCGAAAGGTGGATAAGTCGCTATCCAACGGATAACTCACTATCCAACGGATAAGTTTTATCCAGCGTGTGATTTGGGTTGCACGAAGCTTGTATAACTTTATCCAGAGGATAAAAATCGCTATCTACCGGATAAATTTATCCAAGGTCCGGAGGTGGTTTAAATCCACTATCCAGTGGATAAATTCAAAGATACAAGGTAACACTGTAAACATTTATATAAAATAGGACAAAAATGCAATATTCCTCTTACTGTGTTTCAACAAACTAATACACATCATGATTGTATTCACTATATATTAAAAATGTTTTCGAAGTGCAATTTGTCGCAGCAGCGTTTCACGTTGCCTACACATTCCGTTCGACCGGCGATTTTTTGGACATCCTCGCATTTATAACAGGTGGTAAATTTACTATACGCTTCTAATCAGTTTATAAACGCGAATATGCAAAGAAAGATTCAACCTATTCCAAGGAAACTTGCTAATATCTAAGTAATTTCATTCACGAACATTAAAATAGTGTTTCTAAATTTGCTATTGGACCGAAAGGCAAAGCGTTGCAAGGTCAAGGAATAAAATTGCAATGTGTTTAATTAATAAAATCACTATGATGTGAAGTGCAAAGTTCGAGCAAATCACTTGTTCAAGCCTTTTCCATTCAGTAACTATACTCGAGAATTCGTAATGATTATGAATTCAATGTTGTAAATGCTTAGCAACAGCTGACGTTGTGGTACGAAATTTCAGAATAATACTGTTTTCTTCTGGTAAATTTTAACTTATCTATTGGGTAGCTATCCACTTCACTATCCACGCTTCCTGCAACGCGTTTTTATCCAATGGATAACTATCCAGATTTATCCGTTGGATAGGACTTATCCGTTGGATAAGTTATCCATCTTTCGAACAACCGGCCCCAGTTCCATACCTATACTTTTGTACGTGTGAAACTTTTCGCTTGATTTTCTTTTAATTGTGAGAATCCGACCGTGCAGCAAACATTGAAATAAAGCGATAACACTAAACTTGATTGTGATAGCCCTGAGTATATACCGCTATAATAGCTTTGTTCCTCATAATGATATGCTGGATTCCTCGTCCAGGTATAACTTCTAAAACACGCCTTATTTTTACTTGTATTCCAATGCACCTAAGTTAGTAAAAAACCTGACAAACCCGCTGGTAGGGTGTAAAGAATTTATTTCTAAATCAAAAACTCGCTCTTACATAAGCCACTTATTGAAAAATTTTCGCTATATATTTCAGTCAGATGGATCTCTCAGTCATTTCTCATTCCTTAGTGAACAAATAGTATTTCAGTGAATTGCTAGAACATACCTGAAAAACAGCTATAAACTTCAATTCTCAAAGATATGTTGCGTACCATGTCTTTGGATGAATGCGGATGTAAAGCGCGGTTACAGTTGGTGATAGGACATTTTCCACCAGCGAGTCTCTAATGAAATGAATAATTTGTTAAACAATTAATCTTAATCACACATTAAAAGTTATATATGACCGCATGGAAATGATGTGATGCATATAACGTGACAGGGTAATCTGTAGAAGCCTTGCTTATTAATCCAGCTAACCCTGACTAGTCCATTTATTTTGTAATGATCGAATTTTTGCCCGTCGGAACTACAGGACACAGAATAGGTCTTCACCCACTAATTATAATCACGACGACTTTGAGTGAAATCGCTCCGACAAACATCTTTCTTGCCGAATGCATTTGGTCCTGGTTATTTTTCCGTGCAGACCAGGAAGCTGCCTCATTTAAGCGACCATGTCCTGTCGACTTATCCGCATTCCCAACACTTGTTGCTATTATCTGGGATGTTATGTGTCTTCAGTACGTGGGCCAATAATTAGTATCAATTATCTTCTGGCACCAAAACACCATCGAACAATCATCAACAAAAATGAAATGATAATGCATATAATTTTGCCATACACGGCTCCTCCAGAATTGAAACCAGTCGAGGTACAGCGTTATTTCCATTGATTTTGTGAAATCTTTACTTGGGGGTTAACATCGAATTTTATCACATTCCCATATAGGGGAATTACTGAATAAAAAAATAATGTCCAACAGTCCTAATATGACATAATAATAAACTGAACATATACCATGTAGCCTGCAATATTTACCTTGCTTGGTATGTCAGTCCATCAAATCCATGTATGGCACAGCGATGGATGGAGGTGTAGTCAGTGATAAGAGAAAGGTAATAATTGTTAGCAACTCCTGGGTTGCCATACTTTATTTGATCTAAAATTGAAACACAAGGAACAAGTAAATTATTATATTATTGTCCAGGGTTGTGAGGCTATCAGCATTGTGATATCCCAGGTTCATGCGTACCGCTACCATGGGACAACATTCCTTAGCGAACAAATAGTATTTCAGTGAATTGCCAGAACATACCTGAAGAACCGCCATAAACTTCAATTCTCAAAGATATTTTGCCGTACCAATTCGACTCTATATGCCATAGAATCTACAATTGAGATTACAAGAACATAACTATCACACAATTGAAACTATAATTGTATATGAATCACAAGGGCCTATACAGTATAGTAACAGCATGTATTTTTGACTTCTATAACACAAGAATATACAGAACAAAATGCAGGTTGTTTTCTTTCATATTCACATAATACCCCCAACCCCTGACAGTTACATATATATTGGTAAATGCAATTACATAATAGGAAAGGGAGAAAAAAAATCTATTTTTTATAACACCAGTGAAATATTGTGTACGCATAATACTTAGCGCTATGACCCATGCTGTCATGCTTCCATCACCAGATATCATGAAATCATCTTGGTTTTTTAATGTTGAAATTAATCCGTTTAATTTAAAAAGCACAAAAATACCACCAAAATATAGCTCGAAAATTTCTAATCAAGAAATTAATCAATATTGCTGTTAACCTGACACTGCAGTGCAGCTCTAAAAATCATATCAAATTACACAGGATTACAAAATGGAAATATAACTCGCCTTTGGAATTTCGTTATTTTCTTCGTTATTTTTTATCCTGTCGTCTTTTAACCGTTACATATAAACTGTAAAGGCATTAGTTATCTTTTCTGATAGGATTTAAGTCAGGATGGGCAGAAAAACTCGAAAAATATAGATTTTTTTATTTGTTATTGTGTATAGCGAGGCGTTGCTCAGCCGCATGCACAAGTGGTTGTCGCGTGAGGTTAGAGGTGTCAAAAACGTAATGTTGCCTACCCCGTGGGGGTAAAATAAGCCCAGAAATCGATTTCTGGGTAAAATTGTCCCTAGAGGTCATAATTGTCAAATTTTCGCTAATATGGTGATAATTATATGCACATTTTCGGGTTTCCGTTTGTAAACACATTTGTTGGAAATATCACTACAAATCGCCAAAGCAACTGTATTTCGAGTAAAATATATGAAAATATTGATCCCAATGTAAGCTACAAATATTTGGAGGTTTTTAGGCGAGATTTTTGGAAGGCTTTGCGTATTTTTGCTTCTCTAACATTCAATTTAAAAAGTACAAGTTCTGCAATAAATATCTTGGCTTATAGGAAAGCTTTTGAAATGAACTAAAGTTATACAAATAGGTAAATGTTTTTTCTTTAAGATAATACAATTTCTAGTTGAATTGATAAAACACTTCCAGATAAAACCGAAATTATCTGTGTGCGCCGTTTACGACCGGACAGCAATGAGTTTAGTGGTCTCATATTTATTAAAATGGGTGAAGTATTCGCAGAGTAATCACAAGTTTAAATGAGCTTACCACTTTGAAATATCCTCTGATCGGACGTCTAACTGAGAGGATCCCTTAAACATCGAGAATACTTCATTAACAAGTGCCGCATTCTGTCCTGTTTGAGAAGGTACAAGAACTTCATCTTGGGTATTGGTTACTCTTTGCTCCGTTGGAAGTTCCATTCTGTTGTATGAGGACAACACTTGTAGTTGGTGTGATGAAAGGATGCAGATTGTCCGTTGGATGTTGTGCTTTTGTATTTGAGACGGACCACATTAGATATCAGCGCGAAATTGACACATTCATGGGATTCGAACCCATGAACTCCTAAAAAGGAGTATCCGCAAAATGTGTTCTTTGTGTGGCCAGGAAAAAGAGAGAGCTACAGGGCTTCTCCCAAACCGACTGGCAGACAATACGAAACGTAGAGGACAAGACAGTACAACACAACACAACACAAAACACACAACCGACGACACAACATCCAACAACCCACAACCCACTAACTCTGTAGCTGAAACGACAAAAAATATGGTGAGTTGTTCCTAGAAAATGAAGCATCACAATTAGCATGAAGGCAATTGCTGGCTGGGGTTTAACTGACGGCATGGATATGGGGTGGCTTCTTAGGGTTGGATACTGAAACTAAACTACG